GTAGGAGGTGTTAGGGAAAGGAGGAATAGGTGGGCGGATGGATGGACAGACAGTAATCAGTAGGTGAATGGATGAACAGATGGACAGAAGGGCAGACAGATGATGGATAGGTTTGTTCACTGGATGCATGCAAGGATGGAAGGAGCCATCAGGTGACTGGTAGTACATCTCAAGTCTCTGCAGTCCCATCTCCCTTCCCCACCCCACAACCTCATTTCCCAAGATCCTCCCTACTCCCTGCCCTGTCTCCCCCCACCCTCCCCCGTACCTTCAATGGCAAAGATCTTCTCCTGCAGCTGGCTCTGGAGGCCCTGCAGGGCATCAAAATTGTTGACTTGGAAGACGTGCTCCGTATCTGGGTCCGAGGCAATTTCGTTCAACTCCATCTGGGCTCCTGGGCTCGAGAAGGCCTTGCCAACCTGCCCCAGGGAGGGGAAGGCAGCCGGGTGAGCCAGACCGGAAGGAAGGAAGGAAGGAAGGAAGGAAGGAAGGAAGGAAGGAAGGAAGGCAGGGGTTGAACAGGGGAGGTGAAGGATGCAATATTCATGAGCATGTGCCTGCATATGGGGGAGGTAGGACGGGATAGAAAGATGGATGGGTGAGCAGATGGGTGGAGGGTGTAGCGGTGGATGGAATGGATGGACAGACCAATGGATGGACAGGTTCTTTGGTGAAGGAATGGATGGATGGATGGATGGCTTTGTTCATTGGATGGATGGACAAAAGGACTAGAGAAGGATGGATAGATGGATAGACAGTAGGAACAGGAAGTCCCAGCCAGGTGCCCGTCTCACCCCGATGGCGTAGCGCACGATCCCAGCTCTCTCTGCCTGAAGGATGACATCCCTGTACCTCAATCCCTCCGTCTTCTCCCCATCCGTGATCACGATGAGAATCTTGGTGGCACTGGCCCGGGCCCCTTGATCTGATACAAACACGTCCCTCCTGCAGGATAGGTGGATGGGTGGATGGATAGATGGGTGGGTAGATGGATAATTGGGATGCAGATGGATGGATGGATGGATGGGCCAGGTGGATGGATGCATGGATAGATAGTGGCAGGGGAGGTGGGAGTCACTTCTGGACTTAGGTGGGGGCCAAAGGGCTTGGGGGCAGTACCTACACCACTTTGCGGATGGCACTGGCTGTATAGGTCCCCCCGTGGAGCTGCATGACGTCCCACACCAGGGTCTCCACGTTTGATGTCCTCTTGAAGGAGTTGAAGTCAAAATGGACCCGGAAGCTGGAGGAGAACTGGACCAGGGCAAACTGGAGCAAAGGAGGGTAGGGGGCAAAGCCTGAGACCTGCTGTGGTGCCCTCACCCCCACCCTGAGCCCAGCTGTCTGTCCCACAGTCACCCGTAGCATCCAGAGGGTGCCAGTCACCTGGGTATCGGTGCTCTCGAAACGGTCGATGACCTCAATGATGAACCTCTTCATCCTGTTAAAGTCAACGTCGTTGACACTGCCCGAGCCATCGATGAGGAAGACAATGTCCGTCTGGCGTTTGGGGCATTCTGGGAAGGGGCGAAGGATGGTAAGGACAAAGCCCAGTTACCCTCTGGGGGCCTGTTGCTAACCCGTGATAGGCATGGAGTGGACATGGAACATGGCCTTAACCTGAGAAGTCTTACCTTGACTAGTGGGACCGTGGGGGGAGCGATGTCAGATCACCTCCATCCATCCCTGCTTGAGGCCACTCTGCCCCCCTCCCCTAGTGACCAGCTCTTAACTCACGTGTCCACCCTTTATTCCCCAGGGAACATCCCTGCCCCGCCCCTCCCCCGCCTCAGAGGCCCCGCCCCATCCCTGCCTTGGCCCCGCCTCCTCACCCGGCACGGGCTCTGG